TAATTGCTTTCTGTTGAGCAAGGTTTTTATTGGTAAAGTTTCCCACCTGTTAACCTTTTCTTTCCTTAACAGCTTACACTTTGAGATTACCCATTTGTTTAATTATTACCATTTTATTTCAACCTCCTTATATATTTTTTAAAACCAAGTTACTCCCAGGTATCATTGTTAAATTAGGGATCAATTTGGTTGCAAGGAACAAAAACGGATTCAATGTACTTAGCAGCAGAATATTGGAGTGACATAGCAGGTAATATTATGGACATCCACAGGCAGAGAATTTACTGGAGTTTCATGTGTTCTATGCAAGCAACTGGGAACTCTTGGCTTTTCTTCACTGTCTTCTTAATTTTCTTGCATGTCTAGAACCTATCTGGCAGCACTCACAACCTGAGCCTCATTGTCCAACCACAATCTAGATGATTCAGTCCCACATTCCTAGATGAAAGAATGTGATGGGTTAGCCTTGCTTGTTCATCCCATGTAATTTGGGATAGAGGGGTATGTTCATTTTCTTGGGCTCTCTAACAAATTACCACAAACTTGCTGGCTAAAAACAGGCATTTATTCTCTCACAGTTCTGGAAGCCCAAAGTCCAAAATCAAGGTACCCATGGGATTGATTCCTTCTGGAGGCTCTGGGGAGAATCTGTACCATGCCTCTCTCCTTGCTTCTGGTGGTTCTGCCAGTCCTTGGCTTCCTTGACTTGCACACATCACTCTGATCTCTGGTTTCCTAATCACATAGCTTTCCTCTGTGTCTCTGTGTTTTCTGTCTCTCACAAGGACACGAGTCATTGGCTTTAGGACCTACACTAACCTAGGATGATCACATCTAGAGATCTGTACCTTAATTACATCTGCCAAGACCCTTACTCCAAATAAGATCATATTCTTACAATCTGGTTAGAGCTGTCTTCTGGAGGTCCAGCATTCAACCTACTTCAGGAAGTATAATGATGGTATACCAGTATGGCTTCTAGAATCTATCCCAGGTGCCAGCAAATGTCTGGCTATTACACTTCTCTACAAAGAATATTTATAATTTTGTACATTTACTTCCAAGTATCATGTTCCACTAAAATGCCCTTTTATTTATTTTCTGGGATCTACTTACGGTGGAATTAATAACTCCCTTTTGCCATTTTTCATAGCACTTTGTACACAGCTCTTTGGCAGCCCTTGCCATATTAGTTTATAGCATGTCTCTTTTACCACTTAAATTGTGAGCTTTTTGTTTTAATTTTTAATTTTTATTTTTAAAGAGGGTGCACAAGTGGGGGAGGGGCAGAGAGAGGGAGACAGAATCCGAACCAGGTTCTCTGCATCACAGAGCCTGATGCAGGACTCGAACTCATGAACCATGAGATCATGATTCCAAGTTGCTCTCCACACTAATCTTCTCTGTTGCACAGATGTTATTTCTGGTAATTCTGTTTTCTTTTATTTAAAAACAATTTTTTAACGTTTATTTTTTGAGAGAGAACATGAGCAGGGGAGGGTCAGAGAGAGGGAGATACAGAATCTGAAGGAGGCTCTAGGCTCTGAGCTAGCTGTCAGCACAGAGCCCAACACGGGGCTCAAACCCATGAGCTGTGAGATCATGACCAGAGCCGAAGTTGGAAGCCCAATCGATTGAACCACCCAGGTGCCCCAAAGAAGTGCTATTTTTATGCGTAAATTTAGCGATGCTAGACAATATCTTATAAATGGACTTTTTAATATCTCATAATCTAGGTAAGGGACTACCTCTTTTTCTCCTTATTTCTGATAAATTCTTAGACTTAGTAAAACATTGCCTGAAGAGGCTGGGGAATGGGTTTAAAATAAAGCATGAGGCTGGAAGGCATATTTTGTTTTAAAAATAAATTGACTTGGTCTCATTGAATGTGGCGCTAGCTTTCCAGGTAGCTGATTTCTTCCCGAACCAGGCTGGGCCCACCCAGAAGCAACTATGTCTAAGGGACTTGCAGTTGGCATCGATCTTGGCACCACCTACTCCTGTGTGGGAGTCTTCCAGCACGGGAAGGTGGAAATAATTGCCAACGATCAGGGAAACCGGACCACCCCAAGTTATGTCACCTTTACTGACACCGAACGATTGATCGGTGATGCTGCAAAGAATCAAGTTGCAATGAATCCCACCAACACAGTTTTCGATGCCAAACGCCTGATTGGACGCAGATTCGACGATGCTGTTGTCCAGTCTGATATGAAGCATTGGCCTTTCATGGTGGTAAATGATGCTGGCAGGCCCAAGGTCCAAGTAGAATACAAGGGAGAGACCAAAAGTTTCTATCTAGAGGTGTCTTCTATGGTCTTGACAAAGATGAAGGAAATTGCAGAGGCTTACCTTGGCAAGACTGTTACCAATGCTGTAGTCACAGTACCTGCCTATTTTAATGACTCTCAGTGTCAGGCTACCAAAGATGCTGGAACTATTGCTGGTCTTAATGTGCTTAGGATCATCACAAGCCAACTGCTGCTGCTGTCGCTTATGGCTTAGACAAAAAGGTTGGAGCTGAAAGGAATGTGCTGATTTTTGACTTGGGAGGTGGCACTTTTGATGTGTCAATCCTCACTATTGAAGATGGGATCTTTGAGGTCAAATCTACAGCTGGAGACACCCACGTAGGGGGAGAAGACTTTGACAACCGAATGGTAAACCATTTTATTGCAGAGTTCAAGCGCAAACATAAGAAGGATATCAGCAAGAACGAGAGGGCAGTCCGTCGCCTCCGTACTGCTTGTGAGCTCGCCAAGCTCACACTTTCTTCCAGCACCCAGGCCAGTATTGACATTGATTCTCTATATGAAGGAATTGACTTCTATACCTCTATTACTCGTGCCCGGTTTGAAGAGTTGAATGCCGACCTGTTTCGTGGCACCCTGGACCCTGTAGAGAAAGCCCTTCGGGATGCCAAGCTAGACAAGTCTCAGATCCACGATATTGTCCTGGTGGGTGGTTCTACACATATCCCCAAGATCCAGAAACTTCTACAAGACTTTTTCAATGGGAAGGAACTGAATAAGAGCATCAACCCTGATGAGGCTGTTGCTTATGGTGCAGCTGTCCAGGCAGCCATCCTTTCTGGAGACAAATCTGAAAATGTTCAAGATTTGCTGCTGTTGGATGTCACTCTTCTTTCTCTTGGCATTGAGACTGCTGTTGGGGTCATGACCGTTCTCATCAAGCGCAATACTACCATTCCTACCAAACAGACCCAGACCTTCACTACTTACGCTGACAACCAGCCTGGTGTACTCATTCAGGTTTATGAAGGTGAGTGTGCCATGACCAAGGATAACAATCTACTGGGCAAGTTTGAACTCACAGGCATACCTCCTGCCCCCTGTGGCGTTCCTCAGATTGAAGTCACTTTTGATATTGATGCTAATGGCATTCTCAATGTCTCTGCTGTGGATAAGAGTACAGGGAAAGAAAACAAGATCACCATCGCAAACGACAAAGGTCGTTTGAGCAAGGAAGACATTGAGCGCATGGTCCAGGAAGCTGAGAAGTACAAATCTGAAGATGAGAATCAGCGGGACAAGGTGTCCTTCAAGAATTCCCTGGATTCCTATGCATTCAATATGAAAGCAACTGTTGAAGATGAGAAACTTCAGGGCAAGATAAATGATGAGGACACACAGAAGATTCTGGACAAGTGTAATGAAATCATCAACTGGTTGGATAAGAACCAGACTGCAGAAAAAGAAGAATTTGAACATCAGAAGGAGCTGGAGAAGGTGTGCTACCCCATCATCATGAAGCTGTACCAGAGTGCAGGAGGCATGCCTGGAGGAATGCCCGGAGGCTTCCCTGGTGGCGGTGCTCCTCCCTCTGGTGGTGCCTCCTCCGGGCCCACCATTGAGGAGGTTGATTAAGCCAACCTGAGAATAGGTCTAGCATTGTTCCACACAAAACATTTGAAGGACCCAAATTTGTAGCAAATTCCGTGGCAGTTTTAAAGGAGCTGCTATAGTTAATAAACTGGGCATTCTTGATACTTGAATATGGAATATGTGCACAGGGAAAGAAATACAACATTGCACTTTATAAGCACTGTATTGTGAAGTGGAAAATGCAATGTCTTAAATAAACTGTATTTAAAATTGGCAAAAAAAAAATTGACTTTTCTTTCCCTTTGAATCATAATCTCTTCCTTAGTCTGTTTAGTTCCTTTACGGTTTTGTCAGTTGCAAAAGAAGGTACAATGATAGCGCTCACGTGAACCCCAGAAATAATCTAATTTAACTTTTGATTTGTAGGAAACTGAGGGTCAGGCTGCCTAGGCTCAATTCTTTCCCCTATCACTAAGTTTGGACAAGTTTCTCAATTGTTTTGGCCTCAGTTTCCTCATCTGTAAAATGGAAATAAAAATACTATTGATATTTTAAGATTGTTGTGAAGATCAAAGGAGATAAATAAAGTTCTTAGTACTGTACCTGACAAATGGTAAGAGCTCTACATATTATTATAATAACCTGCTAAATAAGCAGCTTAGGTAAATAAGTGGCTTAGTTTGGGCTCCTGAGTCTCAGTTTAATATGTTTTCCTCTAGACATAAATAAGAATTATAAAGCTCTTTTCTGAGTTAGCTACTCTTCCCTTCATCTCCTTCGTGTAAAGATCATCACATGATATTTCTATTTCTCTTTTCTAGCTAAAGATATTCTCAGCATTTCACCCATTACCACATTTGTAAGGACTTCCTGAATAGAAAATTTAAAATTTAGTCTTTTCTTTTAATTGTTTATGACACTTTCAGATATTTTTCCTGTAAAGTTGAGTACTCTCACAGAAGCAGATTTTTTTCCATTTACAATAATGTACCTCACTTCCCAGCATAAATGGGTTAAGTGCCACACTGGCTTGAGCTTTGCTTAAAAGCAAAGAGAAAGCTCCCAGGCAACAAGAGAGGAAATAGTCACCCATCTCTATGTAGATAAATTCCAAATTCCACTCTCTGTCCTGACATGTGCTGTAGGGGACAGAGTACCTTTGAAGGGGATCCTTTGAACGAGCAGGACATCTTCTGGAAACCACAGAGAGGTGAGTGCCATACTCAGTCTAATAACTCAAATCCTTGCAAATTGGGCCTCTTTTTTCTATTATGTGAAGGTCTTTTTCTGCTTTCTTCAGAGAAGTTATGGGTCAGAGCCCACCACCTGAATTACTCCTTATGTAGACTGCTCTTTGATAATTCCAGGGAATCTCATCTTTTGACAGTTAATGTTTTAGTGTTTATTTTTTGAGAGAGAGAGAGCAAGCTGGGGAGGGGCAGAGAGAGAGATCCCAAGCAGGCTCTAGCCTTTCAGTGCAGAGCCCTATGTGGGGCTTAAACTCACCAACTATGAGATCATGACCTGAGTCGGACGCTTAACTGACTGAGCCAACCAGGTGCCTCTTTTAAAATGCTGGGGCAGGGGTGGAAATCATGGGGGCCAGAGGTGAAAATATGTGAATATAATGGATTTATCTTTCTGAAAACTCTAGGCTAGAGGAAATTTAGAGGAAAACTCTAGGAGCTTCAAAGGAAGATCCTTTTGTGTATTGGTATTTTGTGGCAAGAGGGCTGAGGGATAGTAAGTCACTAATAGCCACTGTTTGATTTTGGTAGAGTCTTGGCTTTGAAGTAAGACAGTCATGGGTTTAAATCCCAGCTCTGCCATTTATAAACTAAATGATTTTTGGACTTGTCACATATTATCACTGAGCCTCAACTTCCCTATCTGTAAAGTGGAGATGATAATAACTTCTCCACATGGATTTTTACTAGAACAAGATATAATTTGTGTAATACGATTACCGCGTTGGAGACTCTCCTTATGAAATTACAATTATGTTTTTGCCAATCTTGCTGCTGGTATCTCAAAATGTTCTTTGTATGAAGGCATCCTGCACCTCAAGTGGGTTTATAGATTTTGAAACTGAATGTTGATTTTTTGATACCTTTATTATTTTTACTTTTAGACACAATTGCATATAACATTAGTTTTAGGTGTACAGCATAAGTATGTGATATTTGTATATATTATGAAATGATCACCACAGTAAGTCTAGTTAACAGCCATTATACATAGTTAAGGATTTGGTGGGACTGAATGAGGCTGGACAGCTTGCTGCTTGCTTCCTCCCTTCCATTGGTAGAGTTCACGGGTTCTTAATTAAATTTACGGCCAAAGTGCTGTCCCTAGAATTTATTCCTTCTTTTCCCATCCTTTAAAAACTCAGTTTCATGCTATGCATGGTTCTTGGTACAGAATGGATATCGACATAGATAGAATGTATGAATAAATGAATGAATGGGAACACATAGTTGTACATTTTTCTACAAGTGTATTCAGATGAAACTTTGCATTCAGGATGCAGCCTTGAGTGGGAACTTTTGACACACCTTGTGTGTCTGTGTCCACATCCATGTGTGCATGTGCATGTGTGTATAGGGGGAATGTTAGAGAGTAAAACACTCACACTATTTCTTCTGCTTTGGTCATATGAGATAAAATGCAGGAAGGCAGAGATAATTTAACATGTTAGCATTTTTAGCGGAAACTGCAGAGGAAATATCTCCTCCATTGTTTCTTGTTTCTTATCTTGTCCCCAGCCACTGTGCATAGCCAGCAGTAATTCTTTGGATTTGTTTCCAGTCCTCCTTCTAACAGTAGCTGTTACTGTGTTTATACCTTTAAAGATAAGACACCACAGGTTACTTAAGTGGCATCACTGTATATTCTCAGTCCTTTCATCCAAACTGGAGTGTTCATAGTGTTGTTTGAGAATTCTGGATCTCCATTAAATGCTGCTTTCATATGAGGTCCCATAATGAGATATTGTATATTTCCAGGAAGTGACGTTTTATTGAAGGCAGTTATTCAAAGCTGCTCCTTTTTAGAAGTTCGGGCTGATGACCAGAGAATGCAGGAAATGGTTTGTTTTCCTTTGGAGCAAGGCATAATCTTTCTGAATTTTCTGTGGCCCAGTGTCTTGCATGTATCCAGAATTGCTCAGATTTAGAAAGGCTGATTTGACTTCAAGAGACTGATACGATTTAAAAATTTTTTAATGTATGTTTACTGAGAGAGAAACACAGAGCATGAGCAGGGGTGGAGCAGAGAGAGGGGAAGACACAAGAGCCTGACACGGGGTTGCAACTGACAAACTGCAATATCATGACCTGAGCTGAAGTTGGTCACTTAACTGACTGAGCCACCCAGGTGTCCGTGATGTGTTTTTTTTTTTTCTTCAAAATTTCACAAAAGTATTCTTGTGCCTAAGTTAAAAAAAAAAAAAAAAAAAAAAAACCTAAAAAAAAAAAAAAAAAAAAAAAAACAGTACATGAATGTCTTCACGTAAGTACATGCTTTCAAGTGAGTTTTAAAAGAAAAGTGGAATTAGGGTTTCTAAAGCTTTAGGAGTCCATCTTCACTGTGGTGCCTACAGGTTCTGATGAGGGTAATACGTGATACCAATTACACCCTCCTCGTGAACTGTCAGAGTTCTCCCCAGCTTGCAAGTGAGTATGCCAAAACAGTACAGCACAAAGTCCTCCCCTACATGGTAGATGTATTTGCCATGGGGAGATAGGGCACAGCAAACTGTCACCACCTTCTCTCTTAGCAGAACTGAAGCTTACGTTACCTACATGTTCATGATTACTACTGTGTTTGATCTATTGGACACCACAATGTGCTCTGGGTTTTTAGGAAGCAGTATCACACTATTGACAGTGATATCTGTCCCTGTAGTACTGACCAGGGGTTTGAAAGGTATTTGAACATTATGTGGTCCTCATATTCCGTGTTTTTGCAGTGCCGTTAGAGGATGCACTAATAATATAATGTCATCTTGTATAAAGGTTGTTTTATTACCAAAGGAAGAATGGCCATGAAATTGTTTCAGGGTTTTCCCAGATTTTAACATTAAAAAAAATTTTTTTTAATGTTTGTTAAATTTTGAGAGGGAGAGACAGAGCATGAGTGGAGGAGGGGCAGAGAGTGGAGGAGACACAGAATCCAAAGCAGGCTCCAGGTTCTGAGCTGTTAGCGCAGAGCTCATTGCAGTACCTGAACTCAGGAACTGTGAGACTGCATATTTACCCATTGATTTACTCCCACAGATAACTAGGATGGACTTTGTACACAGATTTTGGTACTTAAACTCTCACTTGAACTTGTTTCTAAGTCCCTGGGAGGCACTTCACATTTGTTCATGTCTGCTACCCATAAGTAATCACTTTGTGACCCTTTGGTATGGGAGGGATAGTGGAAAAGGCATTGGAGGACAGGCAAATGGTAGAATGAGGGGCACTCATCACATAGCACCACTTGTTGGCTTTGTATAATTACAGTCAAATGAGTCATTGGCTCATTTCTCTCTCTAGATGCTCTGCTCTCTTGTTGCACTATTAGAATTAGAGCACTTACGCTGGCGAGGATGTGGAGAAACGGGCACCCTCCTGCACTGTTGGTGGGAATGTAAACTGGTACAGCCCCTCTGGAAAACAGTGTGGAGGTTCCTCAGGAAACTAACAATAGAACTCCCTTATGACCCAGCAATAGCACTGCTAGGAATTTACCCAAGGGATACAGAAATGCTGAGGCATAGGAGCACATGTACCCCAATGTTCATAGCAGCACTCTCCACAATAGCTAAAACATGGAAAGAGCCTAAGTGTCCATCAACAGACGAATGGATCAAGAAGATGTGGTTTATCTATACCATGGAATACTACATGGCAATGAGAAAAAATGAAATCTGGCCATGTGTAGCAACATGGATGGACCTTGAGGGTGTTATGCTGAGCGAAATAAGTCAGGCAGAGAAGGACAAATACCATATGTTTGCACGTATAGGAGGATTAGGAGGAACTTGACGGAGGACCAAGGGGGAGAAGAAGGGCGGAAATGGTGGGGGAAAGGGAGAGAGGCAAACCATGAGAGACTCTTGAATGCTGACAAAAACTGAGGACTGATGGATGTGGGGGGGAGGGGGGGAGGGGGATGAAGGAGGGCACTTTGGGGATGAGCACTGAGTGTTATGTAAAAACTAATTTGACAATAAACTATTTGTAAAAAAAAAAAAAAAAAAAAAAAAAAAAAAAAAAAAAAAAAAAAAAAAAAAAAAAAAAAAAAAAAAAAAAAAAAAAGAATTAGAGCACTTACCATGTGTTATTTGCTATTACTATGCATGCTTCTGTCTCTTTTTTTCTTCTCAGACCCATTTGGAAGGATATGATTTGGAGCCATCAGTAATAGATCACTCTGGACTGTGGTCTCTTCTCCATCCTCTGATTCCCTTCTCCTTGTTAAAAAAAAAAAAAAAATCACTGAACTAGTGGCACCTGGGTGGCTCGGTTGGTTAAGCTTCCAACTTCGGCTCAGTTCTTGATGTCCCATTTCCCAAGTTCGAGCCCCATATCAGGCTCTGTGCTGACACCTCAGATCCTAGAGCCTGCTTTGTATTGTGTGTCTTTCTCTCTGCCCCTCCCCCATTCACATTTTCTCTCTCTCTCTCTCTCTCTCTCTCTCTCTCTCAGTCTCAGAAATAAACAAACATTTAAAAAAATGCCACTGAAATAGAGTGAGGTTGGGGACAGGATCATCTTTCATTCCAAACATTTGATGTGTGTCTGAGACATTGCTGAATGAACAAGAGACTGCCTGAGGCCACCAGCTGGTTCAAAGGAGTCAGGACTAGAACTGAGGCAGTGTCAACTTCTAGAATGCCCCTCAGCTACTGCAGTTTTTCTAGCTTTGTCTCTGAGTATGATTTAGTACTGTTGATTTTTTGAAAAAGGATTTTTTAAAATTCACAAATAGATGAATATTCTCATTTTAAAGGAGGCAAGCAATAATTAGCACTGTTTTTAAAATATTCAACAGTTAACATTGATGAGATCTTAAAAACATAAAACTCCATGTCAGAATAAAAATTTTAGCTTTAGTGTCCATAATTATTCATTTACTCAATTATTGAGAATTTGAGCTTTAATACAGTTTTCATGGTTGGGCCTCCCTCCCTTTCCAGAATGCTTTTAGAACTAATATAAAGGCATGACTTGTAGCTAAGAAATGGAGAAAATTAAGACAGTGTTGTGAGTAATTTGGCACTAAAAATGCCATTAGTATTACATTTAATTTTAAAGAACACATTTATTCTTTATTTAAAAACTTAAAAGTTTCTCTTTGTTTTGTAGTCATTAAATCAAAACATTTATTTCCTGAGAGAATAGCTACTGCCGTTGAGTAACATGTGTTTACTATTGCTGTTATTTAACCAACATTGTTTCCTGATGGTATTTTTATTGTAGACCCAAGTTCTCATTCTGCTTTATTGTGATGGGCATTTTCAGTTAGTAAGATATTTCCATTGGTTTGTATATGAGAAAATTTTATTCCTTGTGGTTTTTTCCAGAAATGATACATGTGAACTTTTCTCAAAAGATTTATTTTGTTGAGAACTTCTCCTTTTTTCCCCCCTGTAATCTGTCAGAAGAAAATGTGGCATCCTTTATTTATTCCTGAAATGAGTTCTTGCTTTTACATTTGCTTGACCCTTAGGTTATTCCACATTCTGATGGGGGATGAGATGAGAAGGCAGCACCCTTTTTATCCTAATCAGTTCCATTAACAGTATTGTACACCAACCACGTACCAGTAGGTACTTAAATACTTAGGCTTCAAAGAGAAATAAGAGAAGCTTCACTATTCAAAAGCTCTGTGTATAGAGTCCAACAGGTAAACTGTTAAACATCAATCTGTGTGACACATGCTAAGGTATAAGTGGCATGGAGAGGGGTTGAGGTATAGGGAGGGAGTGGCCAGCCAACTCCATCTGAGTCTTCAGGGAGGTATTAGCCTTGAGATAGTCTGGAAGGTGGGGTTAATTTGCCAAGAATCAGGCAAAAAGGACATTATAGGTGGAAGGAACCGCATGAACAAAGTAAGGAAATGTAAAATACCATGACACTTGGGGGGAAATTATGAGTTGTTCCATTTGGCTGCTGTGTTTAGGGCCTGGGGCAGAGACCAGATGATGGTCTCAGATCTATACAGGCGACAGTACTTCTTTCCTGGAGTGTATTTTTGGTACCTGGTATACTTTTCACAGTACATAGTGGAATGAATTATGAACAAATTAAGTGTTGACTGGGGTTGATGAAGTAATTACAAAAGGGTCTGTATGATGACAGCCAAAAACATAATAAGATTTTAAAAATTCTTCCTGAAACCCCCCAGAATCTGTCACTGGAACTGAAATTGTTTAAGAGATAGGAAACCAGGTTGTGACTGATTACGTTTTCAGTTCTCTCCTCAGCCTGCCTGCATTGACTTGGGGACGATGTGGGCCCACACATTGTGGACAATCCTCCTACTCTGCAAATTCAGCCTGGCAGGTAGGTTGACCTGTGCCCTTTTATGGATTGTGTATTTCTTACTAGCTTCTTTGGATAAGAACTGTTAATTTGAGTGCAAAGGGCTTCCTGGACCGTGAGTGCATGTGGATGAATAAGGGATTTGTGACCTCCCTGAATTTGTGTGGATGGGTGTATACATGTTGATGTCTACATATGTGTGTGCAAATTTGGCAAGATGGCCTATCACATTTTCAAAGGGAGATAAGACCTCCTGAAAGGCCAACATCTACTGTTTTAGAGTGGTAGTAAGTTCTTGTATCACTAGTTTTTGTGTTAGGAGCAGTGGTTGCATATAAACACACAAAAATAAAGCTGTATATTTTCATAATGTTTTCAATAATTTCCAAGGATATAAAGGGAAATGATGAAATACATTTTTACAAGGGCCCAACTCAAGACTATGGGCCTAATATTCATATACTACCTTGCAGATGTAATATCCTTTAGTTTGATTGCATTGTATGTAAAAAAAAATTAAGACCAGAGAGGAAAAGTGGGGATTGGGTACTGGGAAGGTAGAGAAGGCATCATGTCATGTACCACTTTGCTAGGGCTGCCATAGATACAAGCTGGGTGGTTTAAATGACAGAAATTTATTTTCTTAAAGTTTTGGAGGCTAAAAGTCCAAGATCAGGGTGCCCATAGGGCTGATTTCCTGATACCTCTCTCCTCAGTGCATAAATGATATTCCTCTTGGTGCCTCTTCATATGGTCACCCCTCTTGTTTGTCCTAATTTCCTTCTCTTATAGGAACACCAGTTGGATTAGATTAAGGCCCTGATGGCCTCATGTTATCGAATACTTCCTTAGGGCCCTGTCTCCAAATATAGTCACTTTCTGAGGTACTGGGGGTTAGACTTCAACATATGAATTTACACATATACGATAAATACCGAGACATGTAGTAACTGGGGGTGACCAAGAGGCAGATAATGTCTTCCAGGCCTCTCTTTTGGCTTGGCCTGCCTTGTTGCCCCCTAGGGTATCCCCGTGGCACTTAGGAGTTTTATAGACACTATAGGCACATAGCCCTTTATCTCTCATCTAGCTTCTTTAAGCCAGCTCAGAAACCAAAAATTGGTCCCAGTTATCCAATTTACAGTTCAAATTATGTGCATCATGGCTCCTATCAAGTCTCCCTTCCCCTCAACTTATCTTTTTCTATCTTCTATCTTTGGCTTCTTCTCTTCTTATTACCTTTTACTTGTACCATGTCTTACATAACTGGCTCCAGTTTGCACCTGACTTCCTTCTAGAATATCCTTCCTTCGATCACTGATCAGCCCGGCCTTCTTCTATTTCAAGACATTTTTCAAAACACTGACTTTGCAACAGCACTAAGTGATACAAGCATATAGGAAAGAAGGAAGATTGAGAACATTTTAATTTTGAAAAATGTTCTTTTTGCATGTGGACAATTCTCTGATAAGCAAGAATATTCCCCTTATCTTTTCTTAGAGGAAAGTTAATGAATATTTCCCCTTTTTTTCTACACAGAGGGGAAAGATAGTGCAGAGAGCTCTTACATAACCCTCATCCAGCTATCCCCATTGTTAATATCTTACAATACCATATCTTACAATACCATAGTACATTTGCCAAAACTAAGAAACCGTTATTGACACATTATTATTGACTAAATTCCAGACTTTATTTAGATTTCACTATTTTTTTTCATTAATGTTCTCTCTTGGTTCCAGGATTGAATTTAGGGTACCATATTGCATTGCATTGTCACATCTCCCTAGTTTCTTCTGATCTGTGACAGTTTCTTAGTCTTTCCTGGTTTCTCATGGCCTTAACACTCTTGAGTACTTGGCAGTACTCCTGGGTTTTGTAATAAGTAGAAGGGAGGTGAAGTGCCCTTGTTATTCTATCACATGTTATGGCAGCCCTCAGATGAAAAGTTGATATTCTAATTAGAATTCTAATTAGATTATATTCTAATCATGCCTAAGATCTAAAATCAACATCCTGTGTGCCAACACAAGGAAATGGGAGGATGATAGATGTATAGTGTCTGTGAATAAAGTAAAAGAAGTTGACATGTGTGGGGTCACAGCGGGTAACTGAGGCTAGAAATGTAAGTAAAGCAAGCAAGTAAAAGTGAAGCCTAATACTGTTTGTTGGCTTGGTTCCTTCTCTTTCCAGCTCCCTATTTGTGATAAAACAAAATCTCAAATGACCTATAAAATACATAGGCAGGATTAGAATGTTATGAGGACACATGAAAAGAAGAGAGAAAACTCCTGATAAAATGAGTTCTTCTCCTGAGTCTTAGAATCCTGGATTTTCAGAGCAGACCATATTTTTACCTAAGTCAGGGAAACTTGTTGATGTTGCAAAAATAAACAAGCCTCAAATCTTAGTATTTAAAACAGCAAACTCTGTCCATCAGAGGTAATCAGGATCCTAGGGTGATGAAGGCTCTACCATCCTAAGACTATCATATCATAAGATTTTTAGGATGTATAAAAACAGAGGAAGAAGAGATAAGAGAAGTGTACACCAGAACTTTATGCTACTCCCATATTACTGAATAAAGTAAGTCATGGGGGCCCTGCCTAATTTCAGGGAAGCAAGAAAATATAATCTTAACATATGTCCAAGAAGGGGCGATATTGATGAGCACTGAAAATACTACTGAATGTACATTTTATTTATCACAACTCTCTTCTGTAATACCAGGGTAAGGGATTAGAATACTCCATTCCAAAATATGCCACTTGGACATGGGGATTATTTTGATGTGGAGGCAGATGAGAGTCAACAAATGCAGAAATGAAGCCTGTTCCCTTAGTTTCCCACATGTATTTACTGTCCTGCTGTTTGCTACCCTTGATAACCTAAATTCCTTTTCCTTTGTCTTGTCTGTTCTACACAATTTATTGTATTTTCAAGATGCTATATGAGCCCAAGATCTAACCACCATTTTGAGTTATTCTTCCCTGAGGCTTGTCCTGCATCATGTGTGCTGCATATGTTAATAAACTTTTCTCTTTTAATCTGTCTTTTGTTAGTCTCATTGTTAGTCTTTTGTTAGGCCCCAGCTGCAGAACCTAGGCAGATAGAAGGAACATCAATTTTTTCTTCTCATATACCAATATTTCTATAAGAATATTGCTTTCTTGCCTATTCCAAGCAATAGGGACAAGACAAATGTAGCTCCTTTAAAAAGCTCACCTGGAGTGGAAAATCATTTTTAAAACCACTTTCTATTTTCCTGATACCTGGGGAACCAGATGTTTGACTCCCTTTTTGACTCATGGCTTATTTATATATTAAAGCTTCTCAGGGTGTAAAGGAGAGGTATTCAATGTCTGGACATTGAGTTTTGACATGGGTGATTCTGAATCTATAAGGATCTATTCCTACATTGGTATTAGTGGCTGGCTTTGGATTCAGCCAGTGCAAGGCAAAGTAAGAATGGAAAGGAAATAAAATAAAATACGACTATAGGAGGCCATAAGGAAAATAGCATAAGACCAAAGAATATTCTGAGCATACAGGGAAAAACTTTTTGTCTCCTTGTTCTCCAGCAAAGACTCAACTTTAAAATCCTGCTGAGAGTTAGTGTGATGGGTATAAGTGAAATGGAGGGTGAAGGGCAAGCTAATATTTAATGAATATTTCAAGCAAACTTGTCCAAAGAATGAAAGACCAACCCGCATATATACACAATTACACACGCATGTATCCTGCCATCATCTCGAGTCATGGAGGGAGTGAATTGGTCACTGTGAAAGTTGTTCCTCTCTCTGGGTATTATGGGATTACCTTTGGTTCACTGCCTTGTAAGATTTTGCTTGTTTCCACTGACAGTTGTGAATCTGTTCTTATTCTGATTGCTTACCCATGAAATTCTCCATGGGGGTTTTCAAGCTGTGTGACCTCTAAAGAATGTGTTACTGGTCTAGCTTCTAATTTCCATTTACCATAAAGTGGCATTTGGTTCAGATCCAGTTATGTTGGTCTTTTTAAGAACTTTGACTTGGAGATTGCCATCTTGTCATGGTTTTCAGCACGAAAATAGTAAATATAGAAAATCTTTTCTAATGGCAGATGAAGTCATTTCTATTAAGTCTAAGTTTAGTGCAAATGGAAAATGAAATGATGGATTTCATGTATCTCAAATGCTTAATTATAAGTGCAAGGTTCTGCTTCATAAGTTTGAGGCACACCTCAGTTCTTTAAAAACAGTTTTAATGGTGTGTCATCTGCTTAGAAGGGCCTAAAGCCCAATGAAACTATTAAATGTAAAGTCCTACAAGTAATTTTTATAAGATAAAGAATCAGTGAATTGTAGTCTGAAAAAAGCAAATGATATGACCATGACAGAACATTGGGTGTATTTAAATATTGTAAGGATTCTTAAGGTCATGGGTACATATACTCTCCATGAATCCATCATGAATCAGTTAACCATTCTCTGGTGCAGAACACCTCACTCTGGAAAAATATCGTAGGTTGACAATTTGATATATTTTATATTGCACAGAAAAAAGTGTTAGCCACTAGAAATGTTATGATTTGATAGGAATTAAAATGCCACATGATCATAATCAGTATTGTAATTATTTGTTAATAATAATTATTTTCTTAAATGTAAGAAATTCTGTGTATCATTTCAGGAAAACTAATGTTAAAATTAATAAAGTGGATTTAAATTCAGAAAAAAAAAGAAAATCTTTCCTAAATTAAAATCTTTTTCTTAATCTAAAATCTTTTATTTTAATTCCAATGTAGTTAACATACAGTGTTAAATTAGTTTCGAGTATACAATATAGTGATTCAACAATTCCATACATCACCCAATATTGATCAAAACAAGTGAACTCTTTAATCCTCTTCACCTATTTCACCCATCCCCAACCCTCCCTTCTGGTAATCCTCAGCTTGTTCTCTAAGGCTCTATTTCCTGGTTTGTCTCTCTCTCTCTCTCTTTTTTCCCTTTGCATGTTTATTTTGTTTTTCAAATT